AGCTCTTCTGCCATCCGGTTCAATACCTGTGTCGACGTACGACCAGATGATCGTGTTCAATTCTGAGGAGTTTCAATAATTAATTCGGTCAGCACCTGGGGAAGTATTCACCCTTCGAGAAAAGACTCTGGGGAAGGCTACTTTATAATGTGCCAATCTTGACAACACTATATATACATATATTTACATCCTATACTGGATGGAATGTGAGAACAGATCAGAACATAGTATACAATAATGATATCCGAAATCACTGGACAAGATTGGATTAATGACTGCGGGTGCTTGAAATGAAACAGCAATTAACTGCAAGGGACGTTTCTCAAGAGAAACATAGATAAAAAGAAAATGTGCACATCGGTTGCCTTCGAAATAAAACGGAAACTAGGTTTAACACGTCTAACACACCTTGTATCTGGAGGCGCGGATCCAACGATGCCAGGGAACCACCGTTGACCGATGTCTCCGACACTGGCAGATATGGCTGGATGACGGGAGGCCGTACTTCAGTCGCTAACAAAGAATCACCTCGCTGAGTCATTGTCGGCATAGCTGAAACCGACGAAGAAGCAGCGACCACGGAAGGCGTCGAAACTGAAACCAGTCCTGTTACCGACTCATCTGCGGGTGGACGGTGATAATGGTGAACATGATGATGATGGCGGTGATGGGATTGATTCTGGCGGTGAGGGTGTTCAGATGAGACGTACAGTTGGTGTGCATAGCTCGGAACGGAAGATGATCCATCTGTGCTTTCACTGGCCATTACTTCAGTGACTGGGGTGCTGGACAAGGAAGAAGATGACGCTGAAGTGGATGCGAACGAACTGCGCACCAAGTCTGAGGCGGAGTCACGATAAGCGGACTGACAAGAGCGGGTAAACGAGGGAGGACTGAAATGTCACTGAGTATCATGTGGAGAACGATGATGGAAGACAAATTGATCATTCCGGGTTTAATTAAAAAAAGACCACGAGAAAATTACATGTTTCAGAAGAAACGGGGTATGAGGCTAATCAGAAATGGACACAAACAAAACTTCACGCTTACTCCGGTG